GCTACTTCTGGCGAGCCCTAGCTTGCCACGCCATCTTTTCTGTTGTCTACATAATTTCTTTGAGATCTATGCTAACATATTTTTGATGTTCATATGGATTGGAATATCGAGTCACTAATATTATTGAAAAATCAATAAAATGATATATTTCTAGCATATAGTTTATGAAGGCTTCCTTGCAAGGGATTTAATTGAAGTGGACCAAATTTACTAAAAGTATATACACGTATTCTATCACATACAATTATATAACATATTATAGTTAGTTCAATTTTGCTAGGAGAGATAATATATAAACTTTATTGACAAGATTTTCGTGAAATGAGAGAATAAAATGCGGTATAAGCAAATTTTTTTAGGGAAATTTCAATGATTTTCTATTTTCACAACATATAAATAGGAAATGTGTTATTGTATGGCTCATATACCATATCGGGACAGACGCTGGATCGAAGCGGAGCGGAGCGGAAGAATCTGTCCAAATCGGGAAGTTACATTATGTGGGTTGGGGGTGTTGGGTCAACGCCCCGCTATACGGTACAGGGGTAATTTGGGAATTATATATTGTACTGCAGGGCTTACTCTAGGATTATAAATAGACCTGTTTGTAATCCTAGGTCTTTGAGAGAGCTGAATATTCTATTATGTAATCTTTTCTGAATATTGAAAAGGAGGTCGCCGCTCTGCTCCCGAGGACGTAGGCATCTTTGCCGAACCTCGTTAAATCTCTGTGTTCTTCTAGATTTGTGTCGATTACTGTTTTTATTCGCCCTAATTTTCTCAACAAATGGTATCAGAGCAAAGGTTCGAGGACGAAAGAAAAATTTTTTTCATGGCGCTGGGAGAAGAGGAGTTTTGCTGCAGGACTCTCGATCGCAGCTCAAGGAAGCGGATCGCGTAGAGATCTGCAGGAAGCAGATTGGCTTCGCGCGCGAACAGTCAGATCGGAAGTGGATAGGCTTTGCGCGAACAAACGAGGTTGGAGGAGAAGCTTTTTCGATTGGCTGTTGGGTTCCGATTTTCGCCGGGACTACGAAGGAAAATTTTGCTGGAGGCGTCGTCGGCGAAGTTTCAGATTTTTGTCGGCGCTGCGAAGGGAAATCGGAGGCGTCAGAGCTGGCGAGGTATCAGGCGAAAAAGGAAAGGAGCGGACGTCTCGGCGAGAAGGACAGAAACGGAAAGTAGCGGAGAAATCAAGGAATCTTTGATTCTTTGGTAGGCTGCAGAAGGAAACCTTTAATCAAGCTTCGCTGGAAGGAGAAGAAATTGGAAGGAAATCCGAAGCGGAGGAAGAATATACCTTTGCTGGAAAGGAATCCGGAAGGGAAACTAGAGGAATCCATTGCCACAGGAGAGCAGGGAAAAGAAAAGGAAAGTTTGCTTTATTTTTTGAATTTCCAAAACGAAAGCTAGTGAAGGAAAGTTTTCTTTTAAAAATTCACTTAATTAAGAATCTTTTTTAATTAAGTTGATTTAAATTAAATTAAGCAAATTTAATTAAGAATTTTCTTTGCTGAATAAGGAGAGGAAATAAAGGAAATATTTATTTCTTTTCTTGGAGGCGGAGAGAAAATTTTTTGCTTTGCTCGAAGATTTCAATTTTTTTTTCTCTTTCTTTTCTTTTGATGGCCTAACTCACATTGGTGCAGGTGTAACTCCCAGGTATCTTTTCTCCCAAGGGGCTGGATATTCGCCGATGTGGAGATTTGTTATTGTATGGCTCATATACCATATCGGGACAGACGCTGGATCGAAGCGGAGCGGGGCGGAGCGGATGAATCTGTTCAAATTGGGAAGTTACGTGGGTTGAGGTGCGGGGGCAAAACCCCGCGGTATGGTACAGGGGTAATGTTGTAATTACATGTTGTGCCTAGGTTTACTCCTGGGGTTATAAATAGGCATGTTAGTAAGCCCAGGAGGGATTCCTGATTTCTGTAAACCCTTTTCTGATTATTGAAAGGAACTTGCAGCTCTGCTTCCGAGGACGTAGGCACCTTTGCCGAACCTCGTTAAATCTCCGTGTTCTTCTGGATTTGTGTCGATTATTGTTTTTCTTCGCCCTTATTTTCTCAACACCTCTCATTGAAACTTAAATGTGAGCTGAGAATATGTGTGATTTGAATACATAATCTCACCTACATCCCCAATCACTATATAGATAAGTGCATAAAAATTGAGAGAGTTAAATCTATGATTGAAATTATGTGGGTTCACTTACTATATTGTGAAATTATGAGCACACTATTTAAAGTTTTTAATCATTTGGACTAATATTAAAATAAAATTTATATAATCATAGAGATTGAATTTTATTATATAAAATTTATATAATATGAGCACACTTTCAGAGTATTTTACTATCAAGAAATTTTGCCGAAGTTTATAAATACCTCTTTTTCTTCAAGAATAACTCGCTTTCTTTAATTTAGTTTTATTTGAACTAATACTCTTTATTTATAACTTTTTCTATTCATATATTGAATTTTCTTATTTTGCTCTTGTTAGTTATGTCAATTTGAATTTTGCACATAAAATTTAAATGTTAGTTTTCAATTTTATAAAAGAGACAAAGATGCTTAGCTCTAATCATCTATTTAGAGACGTCAACAAATAATATAATTCTATAAAAAATATTAAAGGATTCATGTCATAATTTTGAATATTTTGATATTTTAATAGTAGCAGCTATAGTGACAAAGTTGTAATTATGGGTGATCAAATCATCAAAAGGTGTGAACATTTTAGATATCACGGGTTTATTGCTCAAAGTGATGTTGATTTAGATGGGGATGTTATAAGTAGAACTTACGTTAATTGGTTGAGTGGAGATAAACAACTGGTCGATTGTGTGGTAGAAAAGTACTGCTTTGACTTAAAGGAAAGTTTAATAATATGATGGTGAGACCTGCAATGCTTTATGACACACAATGTTGGCCTTCAAAAAATAAGCATAAAACAAAGTTAGGTGTTGTTGAGATGAGAAGGTGGATGGTGGCTTGACACTTGGAGACAAAATGCCAAACAAATTTATCCGTGAAAGGGTTGGTGTAGCTCCAGTTGCAGAAAATATTAGAGAAACTCATTTTAGAAGATTTGGTCACATTGGAGGTCGAACATCTGATGATCAATCTGGTTAGGAGAGTACGTGATTTAGCTTCAACGTATGTTAAGAAAGGAAGAGGTAGCCGTAAAAAATATTTGGGCATATTATATAAAATATTATCTTTATCTATTAGTATCAAATGAAAATATGACACTAAAAAAAGACAATAGAGAAAAGAGAAAAATGATTCATGTAGCTGACCCCACTTAGTGGGATAAAGTTGTTGTTGTCTATAAAATATCACATCAAGATATTAAAAAAACTATAAAATATAATAGAAGCATATATTATAAAATAAACATACAACAACAACAGTTCTCAGATATATAAAAAGCTCAAAAGCATCTATGAATCAAAAATTGTCTAACAACCTATCTCCACTCCTATTATTAAAGTCATGAGTTTGAGCTCTTATACTTTCAGCTGCTAATTCTCAGCCAAAAACTCAAAAGAGTTTTGCTAACTGTCTATATCAAATAATTTATCACTGTTTATATCACTCTCATATAATTTATTTATTTTTTTTATTTTAATAATCTGTTAATATATAATATATGTAGATAAGTCAATATCCATTTTCTTAAAGAAAAAAAAAAAAAGACTTTTTTTGGCCGTCTTCACCTTTGGCAAATATGATGTCCAGAATCAGCTTGAGCTGACTGCTCAGTGTTATTGAACTCAGCCCAAATGCTTTCAAACATGCATGTATATGACTTGAGAGACAGTGGGGCATTGAAAGTATTATCTTTCCCTGCCTTCCTTTCAGCCATAGTTGGACCTTTCAAATTGTTCATTATTATATATGATCTGTTACAAAATATAATTATTGTATAAAAATCTGTTATTTGATGTCATTAATGTGTACATAATAATAATAATACATATTATGAAAAACGATACAACTTTCTAAGCATTTTAGCAGATGACATATACATACCTATAAAGAACAGTATCCATCTAAGCCATATGACAAATTTTGTCACTTTGCGTGCACAAACTCACTTCATCTCTAGCACTGCTTGTTCTCCTAGTCACCTAAAGAGCTATGCTAATCACTCTCTATTTCCTTATCACTGACTTTAGCTCTCCATTCCCTTGGCAACTTGAAGTACCCCCATCCCTAGGATACTACTAAGATTCCTCCCTCATCCTCGCTTATCCCCTTCCATCTTTTCTAACCCGACAGCCAAATCACACTTCATCCCACAACCACTAAAGTCCATATAAAACAAGAAAAGAAGAGCATATATAATAACCTTTTATTTATTACCCCCCACTGCTCATAGAGAGAATGAAAGTGAGAGAGAGAGAGAAAGAAAGACTCGTTAATGCATCTGATGTACATAATTGTATGCAGTTTCAAGTATTTCTTGAGTATAAATACTTATTAACATACTACAATAATACTTAATAATAACATACATGACACACATACCCCCCCCCCCCCCCCCCCCC